AAGATTTAAAAGTCTTAACAAAATCAAGTTTACCTTTGAAAAACATCTTTTGATAAACCCCCCCCCCCCCCAAAACAAAACAAAAAACAACAGTTTAAATCCATGGCACACATACACACACATTTTTTTTTTTTTTTTTTTAATTGAAAAACTGTCCATGTCTTATCATTAAAAACCAGGCAGAAGCTAAGAAGCTGGAGGATTCCAACGTTTACCTAACCCTTCCCTCCACTAAGCTGGAGCTGGAGGAGAAAGGTTACGCCACCACTGGCAAAAACTCCCAGAACCTCGGGACCTGCACCATCAGCAAGGACTCCTTCCAGATCGCCACCCTGGTCTGCTCCACCAAACTGACTCAGAACGGTAAGGCGCTCAAAATGTCTCGTGGTTTTATCGTCGTTGGAGATAAAGTAAACGCCTCATCTCTGAAACCAATGGCTTAAACCAAAGGATTTAAATGAGCAAATATCAAGAATGTTTTACTTGATAGGAGATTTTGATCCATACCCTTTAGAATGTAGGATTTGGCAGCTAAGTTCCTGGCAGTCCCCACTAAGCTCTTACTACTTACTTGTTTTGGCTGCACAAACAGTGTGTTTTCAGATACATTTTTGGACTCAAAAATGGGATTCCCTCACTCATCCTGCTCTCACTTTGACCTACTTTAATTCCCTCAGCTGGTATTGTCCAGTTTCAGCCAGTTGTTTTAAATCCTTTTTTTTTTCTTTTTTTCTTTTGTTTTTTTGTTTTTTTTTGCTGAATAATCTTTGGATTTATTCTATTTACTACTGCCAGGCTGTCAGTGTTTCTTTTTCTCTCCCCCCGAATGTCCCATGGTTCTGAGAAAATCTACACTTACTAAGCTAAGGAAATCCCCATCTCTGCCCTTTGGCTCATGGATTAAGGATTCTGGCGTCTTGTGTTCCCACCAGCTTTCAGACATGTTTATAAATCCCTGCAGGCATCAATATAAACCCTCTTGGATGCTCTGGCATTTCCAGGGTGTGTTCATAACACTACTGTTGTCTCAGTGCAGTGTGTGTAAAGAGCTGTTTCTCTGTCTGAGCGGTCAGATGCCTCTCGGTTGTTTTAAACAGAACCCTCCTCAGTGTCTCCGGTACCTGCCCACCTTGTATGTTCTTCTTATGCTCTGAGTCAGACATCGCTCTGTTTATAAATAAAGATTTATCAAAGGGAAATCTACATCATATATCGACTTTTCAGGAAAAAGGATGAAATTTCCCCCAGAAAAAAATGTGCAATAACCTTGATGCCACTGTAATAAACCTTTTTTTTTTTTTGATATCATCGTCAGCAGTACTTTAAGGAAAAAAAAAAGTTTCTTTTCGTTGTCAGGCAGATATCGCATCTGTGCTGGGATCCAGAATAATGTAAGAACCTTCACTGACCTTGTGGCTCGTATAGGCAATATAATGAAATAGAAGAAAGGGGAAGAAAAAAAAAAACCCCAAACACATTTGTCATTGTTGCTTGGCTGCAACTTTGGGTTGAAAGCTAAACTGCAGTTCATGAAGTTCCGGTAATAAGGCCACTGCGGACCAGAGAATGCAATTTGATTAGATCCCCGGCACAAGGGGAAAATTTTGTTGTGAAAATGCTTCTTTACATCATGTGGAAGACGGGGAGGGGGTGTTCCATGCTGCTGCTGTAATATCCCCGCCGAGACTTGTTAAGTTCAGTCTGCGGTGTAAGTTGTCATTTAAATACAGCTGACTGAGTGCCCTCCTACTCTGCTCAGGGGGTGAACAGTCTCAGCTACAAAAGCAGTGACTAACTCGCATTGATTGCATGTGGCTGATGAGCAAAATTATTATTTTAAATCGTTTCCTGTAATGCTAATGTGCAGATTCTGATTAGAGCAATTCCAGGTCGGTAATCTTGTCTTTTTCTCCTTGTTCCGAGATGGTTAATGGGGTTAAAGCTGTGTTTCTGACAGCCAATCGATCTTTTTGTGTTGCACTTGTCGAGCAAGAAACCCGTAGCACAATGTGTTCACTCACACAGCCCCTGAACCTTTTCTCGTTTTGACCAAATTTAAATGCAAAAATAATGCATAAATGAACATAAATACATGGTTTTCAAATTTCTTCATTTATTAAAAGAAATCTGAATGTGCCTCTTTTGAGTACACACATTCTGTTATTCTGCACCTCTTTGTGGTGTTGATTTGCAGGGCACCAGTAGGTGGATGTGATCAGACAGCCTTGGCACAGATAGATGTGAAAAGCCCAGAAAAATGGTTGTCTAATGTACCTTGAGAAATTTCAGCTTCATAAAAGTGAACAGTCTATAAAATGTTTAAAAAATGACCTAAAATTAAAAATTAAAAATTTCATAATAAAATAACAGAATTTAGAATTTTTACATCTAAGTAAAAACAAACAAACAAACAAACAAACAAAAAAACAAAACAAACATGGTAACTAAGCAAGCAAATATGGTTTAAATTTAATAAAGTGAATGTGTAGGATTACCATGGTTTTAAATCTTGCAAAAAAAAAAAAAAAAAAAAAAAAAACATTCAGTAAGTTAGAAAACAGTCCTTCTCGCTGCAGGATGTTTCAGACAGACCGTTGTTGCTGCTTTTCTGTTCCTCTTTCCACCATCTTCGCTAGTGTTGACTTTTTAAAACAAGACTGCCTGAGCGAATGGGTTCAGGGGACGAAGCGCGCATCAATCTGGAGACCATGCAAAATAAAACATTTGGAAAGTGAAAAATACAAAAATAATACTTTTTTTTTTTAGATAGTTTTGAGCCAAAATCTAAATTAGCCAGTACGTTTATTTAATCGCACTGTTGTACCTGGGTGGGCAAGAACTTTGCTTTTACTACACGTACATACAAGATTGCTTGGCGTGACCAGGAAAAAAAAAAAAAAAGACAGTTAAAGATAAAGTTCACATTCAAGGAGCCATTTTTCAGAAATGATCATTTAATTTATAAATCAGTTTTAAAAAAAACATTGTTTCACAAAACAAAAAAAAATTAATAATTTAACTCTGCTTTGAGCTTATACCCCCTGCATTTTAATTTCCTTTCTGTACTATGAAGCATTTTTATTTTTTTTTAAACCTAATTAATACCCTCCTCACTTCTAACTAGTAGGTCTCAAAAGGGTTTGTCCTGACTCCTGCAAAGGGAGGAAAAACGAGCACTTCAGTGCCCCTATCAACAGTCTGCTTGCTTTATACACGACACTTCATCACTGATGCCCACAGGAGAGATGAAATACTCATTTTAATTAAGCTGGTTTGATGCAGACGGTCTCTCCGTGCAGGAAGCTGGTGTGAAGTGGCTGCTGGTTGGTCCCCGGGTATTTCCAGCATGGTTGGCTTCATGAAGGAGGACTGATGGTGGCAGCACTTAGAGGGAACATGGCTCTGTGAAAGCTTCTACCATTTTCACCTTAACTGAAAAGCAATGTTCCCAGCAAAGCCCACTAAAAGTAGGGAACGCTGTGTGCGAATTTGCTCTAACGTCTTTGTGGAGTTCTTTCAGGAGTTCTTGATTTTCATGAATAAACGCCGCTGTTTGAATCTATGCATTTGTTCTGTGGATGACAAAAAAAAAAAAAAAATCGTTCAGTGAAGCAAGATGTTTCATAAACATTAATTATGAGTTAATGGGAAGTAATTTGCATTTAAGTTGCGCAGTGACACTGTAACGGATTTTGCTGAAATTAATTAACCTGCCACCCTCCATCTGCCAGTTCGGTCTAATATTTTAAATGTGGCGTCCTGTGGAAGCATCTTTTATGAAACAGATGGTGTTTGTTGAAGATCCTCCGTGTTCCTTTATTTTTTATTTTTTTCCTTCATTTTTGGAAAACAAGACCGATTTTCCTAACATTTAGCCGGTTTGGCCAGCACTCTCCCCCCCCGAGGCCCTAAGCTGCCAATGAGTTGTCCTCATTGTGTTCAGTGTGCGTCTCTAAGGAGCTATTCTATCGATTTCCAAATCCATGTCTTTTTGGAGAGGATGACACCTGGACACCTGGACAGACCATTGTGACAGAAGCATGATAGGCTGTCAGGTTTACAGACGGTAGATATCCATTCTGTGCTCCCATGCTCGACTGACTCCACCAATAACCAGCCGGGTGGATGGAAACAGAGCTGCAAGGGATGATGGTGCCGGAGATACTGGTAGGATGGACTGTGTATACACAACCCTACCGGATCATTGGCACCGCTGCCAAAGGTTTGTAAAAAAAAAATAATAAAAAAAAAAATAACAAAAATAAATAAAAAATAAAACCTTTCAAATAAATTAGACATTGTTGACAATATTTAAACACACGACTATAGTCTTAAAAACAACAAATAATAATAATAAAAAAATACAATTCAACTAAATATAGTTGTTTGCACATCTGTTAAATCCCAGGTAGGTTTTAAAACACTATGTAATGCTGGTCACACTTAGAGCAGGCCCAAGGCATAACTGAACATTTTAACGTGGCTCACAGATGTAGAAATGTAACATTTGTTTATTGAGAATGACACGTTTGTTACAGTAACTACAGCCTGAGTCTATGAGATAACACTTGAATTTGAGCTCTGTTTGTTCACAACTGCAACATATTTGTAAATGTATCTCGTCATCTCAGTAAAGCATAATCATCACCGAGTGCTTTTAAGTTTGGCTAATTAAACTAGCCACACGTAGAGGCAGATATTCAACCATTTGACCTTGTATCTAATGGAATAAATTATCCTATAAGTGGCCAGTTGATAACAATAACTTCCAGGCTTTTTTGTTTTGTTTTGTTTTGTTTTGTTTTGTTTTGTTTTAGAGCTGATGGCTGTGTTTGTCCTCTATGTTCCTAATATGTGGCTGGCAGGGCTTCTCCAAGCTTGTGAGACGATATTGTATACACTGAGATTGTGTCTCTTGGTCCAGTTATAAATAGTTTCATAACGAGCTGACATGAATGTATTTTCTAAGCCTCTCAATTGATCATCCACCGAATGAATGTAATTAATCTGATTGTAACTTATTCTTTTGTTCTAATATTTAATTATCCCCCCTTTTAAAATAAGCGATCTGACAAATTGATAAACATTGCATTTAGTGAAATTTGCGTTTGGATCCCAGACTCGTTCATTTTAATTCATTCAGCTTTGACAACGTCTTCCCACGTTTTGTTTCTGGCCGCTGGATAAACGCAAACGGATTCTGCTCACACGTGCTATCCGTTTGCTTGTTCCAGTCGACCTGCTCGGCCTGCTGAAGTGGCGCTCCAACACCAGCCTCCTGCAGCAGAACCTCTGTCAGCTGATGAAGGTGGACGGCGGTGAAGTCGTGAAGGTCAGAGCTAAATCGAATGCCTTCGTTTGTTTTATATTTTGTTGACTTTGGGGAAGAGGTTTGTATTTCTTGTGGGCTTTATGCTTCTTAAGTATCCTGACATCTGGCAAAAATAAACAATCCAGTCACAAACCAATCTTTAGTAGCCGTGAAAGTGACAGCTTCTTCGCAGCAATTTCACTTCAGTTTTCTCTCCCTGTCGGGGGGGATCAGATTGTCTTTTTTTTTTTTTTGCAATTTTTTTATGTCTCCTAGTGAGGAGGCAGTACATAGCACCAAACCCTGCTTATAAAAGGGAAGATGACTCACTGTCAGATTCATAGTCATGCCATTTTAAGTGCTCAACATGGGGCAGATGAATAAATCACATTGTACCGGATGCTTTAGGATGGGCTGTTTGGATGCCTTCAGATCACAGAGTATCTTTCCTGTTTAAAACAGTGGATAAATAAATAAAGCATTTTTATTATTAGCACTCAGTCTTTTCAAAATGTCTCATGGCCTTTAGTCGGCAGTTTTTGTTTTAAAAAGTACAGTTTTTCTTTTAACACTTGACGTACACTGACATATATTGTTGAAAGCATGCAGACACAGTTCATAAATAACAGATCAGGGGCGTTTCTAAATGAACGGCTCTTCTACTATAACCCTTACTAAACCTAAGTGAGTCAGGAAAGGGACAGAATTTAAGTATTTCCCAGATTTTAATATCTGTCTTGTTGTTTGAAAGTTGTATCCATGGACTAATTTCATATCGTTAAGCCTGAATGTTAAACCTGACTTTGAGACAAGTACTTTCAAATAAATGAATGGAAAATGTATTTATTTGTGGGTAATTTGTTCTTTTGTAGTCTTAAAAATAAACTCAGACGATGTAAAAAAAAAGTGGAACCTGTTGCTAAAAAAAAAAAAAAAAATGTCCAAACGCTGGAACGCTTTAAGCTCCCGGCTCTGCGTGTTACGTTTGCTTCTCACTGACAACATGATTAGCCTCATTCATCCAGCAGCGACAGACCAAACACAATACAGCGATTGTTGTGCTTCTGTCACGTTTTACAACTGTTCTCAGAAACGGCTCAGTTAATGGAGCAAGCAGAGAGAAAGGATATGTATAGTCTGTGCTTCTGAAGGTTCTGCTGACAGGAAAATTATTACATTCTCTAGTTGAGCCACACCAGCTTGTCTTCATGGCTTGTAAAGAGGCGCTAATGGGGAGCGTGGAGTGTACAGAGTTCAGCTGCTAACTGCATAATTTCCTCATTATTTTGTTTAAATGTTTAAAGCCCTGTTTTTTTTTTGTTTTTTTTGTTGATTTTATGACCCTGGTCCACCCAGTCAAATTGCGGATGAAGAACACAGGATATTGTCACTATATTATGAGCCAACAGACTAAGAGCCCTGGGTTTAAAAAGAGGCTCACTGTTGTGCCCCCTTTAAGTTTTTCTTCAACAGACAAAAGAGGAATGAAGCCACAAGACCACCAACCTCTCCGTGCTGGTTTAGGTTATATGACGTTAATTTAACAGTTTTACCCGCAGTAATGTCTAGAACAGGCTACCGATTGGATTTTATGTGTTTGCAAAAAGCATTTACTACAGAAAAATGGGAATGTCTCTAAATACGGATCTTATTATGTATACTTGCAGTTTACAGGTCTGTCCACTAAATGATTTCTTTATAGGAAACATGTGTTGGCATCTCTGCTGCTGTGTTGTAGCCCTGATTCAGTTTGAGAAAATTATAACCTTAATTAAAATGTTTTTTTTTTTTTACACTATGTACACAAATATTTGCCACAAAAATGCCATGCATCAACAGTTATTTTAATCTTAATAATATAATGTAATATTAGATACCGTTTGTATCTACTAGATACCATTTGTATCCAATATTACAAATAGTAATTTTTTTCTGTAACAATTTTTGCTGTTGCTAATTTCTTGTAATAACTTGCTGCCTATTGTCTCAGTTTTCAACTAACTGATTATTGTGCAAAATGTTAGATTTTTTTTTTTTTTTTTTGCCCACTGCACTTAGTAGTTGTATAGGTGTTCTTGTCTAGCCTTTTCTTAATTCTAACTAAACCTTTCAGACATTATGGAAATGTCTGAAAGGTTACAATTGTGTAACAATCGTGTGAACTACTTAGTTATTCTTTTGTAAATGAGTGACATGAGTTTACCTATTTAAAGTAACAGTGAAATTGTGTCTTCTGATTAGATGTTAGGCTGACTAGTTGAAGTAATTAAATGCTGTTCTGTTAACCTCCTGTGCATTTCTTTCTTTCTAGTTTCTGCAAGACACTCTGGATGCTCTCTTCAACATAATGATGGAAAACTCTGACAGTGACACTTTTGATACATTGGTGTTTGATGCCTTGGTGAGCACAGAGTACAAAAAGAAGAGCACAGCATCACTTATGATAGAGATCCTGTCAGTGGAAATAAGCACTTGGAATACATTTGTGGCCCACATGCAAAGAATAAATGTTGTGAAACATTCCACGTGCTCAAATACCCCCTGGCAGACGTCCCTCCACTGCTTGTAATGCATTTTGATCTCCGAAAAGATCTGTTGTGTATTAAATAACTTGTTTTCAACCATAAGCAGACACTCACAAAAGAAACAAGATTAGTTATACAGTCAAATATTTAAAATATGGTGAAATACATTTTGGGGAATAATATGCTAGAAAAAGTTGTACGAACAGAGATAAAGTCTGTTAAAACAATTTGGGATACTACACACAGGCTGCCGTTGTCACTTTTTCCTTCCACTAAACATTACGTTGATACACTTGGATGCAGAGTGTTATGACCAGCCAACATTTTAAGCAATGGCCTTTTGTGGCTTATCCTTTTTATAGGGGGTGTAAATAACCATTTGTCTTCTCCAAGATGCTAATATATAATTTCTGTATTAAAAAAATATATTTATGTGGTGTTGGACTTATCAGAAAAGCTGTAAATCATCAAATTTAGCTAAACTAGAAGCATAAAATGTGTCATTCTATTGAATCGATAGGATGTCACTAATGCTTTTAAGTGAAATCCGGAAAAAGTTCAACTTCTCAATAATTCATTTATTAAGTTTCGCCTGTTGTTGTCTAGCTCAGCTTTCGCTTTGTAGTTGTTACAAATGTCTCAAATCCATTTTAAAACAATCAGGATTTCTGATTAATTTCTGCATAGATTTGAATCGGAGGGGTCAAATTTTTCTTCGAGTCGAGTCAAAAGTTTTTACAAAGCCCCGAAAGAAGTGATCACATACTGCTTGCACCTTGCTTGCTGTGAAATGCAGTATATTTTGCTTTTAATACATAACCAAGTATCGTGCTGAATCCCATCTCGCGTGGCATTGGCCAACAGCTGGAGGTCCATCTCAGAAGAGAGTTTTTCTCTTTCTGACTATGTGCGGGGATAAATTGTGTTATTTGGGGGGTTTTAGATTATCATCGGCCAAGGGAATTGAGAGAAAATAGCTTTCTGCTCCAAGCCAATCTTGTGTAATTTCCCCATCTCTTTCAACATATTGAGTAAGACAGGTAATGTTTGGTGCTCTTCATTACGAGATTCATGGTTTTACATTTTAATGAGAGTGTCTTTTGCTCCCCCGACAGGTGTTCATAATTGGACTTATAGCAGACAGAAAGTTCCAGCACTTTAACCCCGTTCTTGAAACCTACATTCGCAAGCATTTCAGTGCCACACTGGCTTACACGTAAGTTTGCTTCTCTCTCTACGAGTGTTTTCTGTTTCAGAAACAGAAACGGTCTGCCCGGTCAGAGTTCGCTGCAAAATCAATCTCACTTTAGATACAGTTTGTTACCTACAGAGCAGCGCCTCGCAGCCGGCTTTTTGGCTGTAAAACGTCATTTAATCACGAAATAAATTCACCCCCCCAAAAAAAAAAAAAAATAACTTCCACAATTTCTCAGATGAGGCTTAACACTCATGATTAGAGTTCATTTAATTACATCCATTTGTATTTTACAAATTCCTCCTGAAAAGATGTTATTGCCACCTATAATGTTTACCAACTCTAGCTGATCAGATCCATTTTTTTCCCCTTTTGTGATTTCATCACCTCAGCTACACGCAAATCAAAATTAGTGGTGTTTTTTTTTTTTTTTTTTTTATCGCGCTATTTAAAAACTGTGTTTTTGGAAATCCTGCTCAGAAAATTCATGCATTATTACCCGGGTGTTTTTTTTTCTTTTCTTTTCTTTTCTTTTTAGTGCTCATCTGTTTGTGAAAAAAAAATACACCACTTCATGTAACCTTTAAGTTGCTATCTATCATGTTTGCAGGAAATTGACCAAAGTTCTGAAGAACTACGTGGAGAACGCTGAGAAGCTGACAGAACAGCTGCTGATGGCCATGAAGGCTCTGGAATACATCTTCAAGTTCATTGTGCGCTCCAGAGTTCTCTTCAACCAGTGAGTATTAGGGCATTAATACGAATGTGGTGTATTAGTATTAATTAATTAACTAATTATTAGTTGATGTGGGGGGAAAAAGAAGTCTTGGCAAACCAAACATTTTATATGCCAGCAGCTAGTAAATTAAAGGCAGCTCAGCTTTGAATACCATGTCAGTTTCCACTTAATGCTGTACAATTAAAAATTATATATTAGGGTAGAAACAATGCACAATGTAAACAAGTATTACTTTTAAATAGTTTTTCCATCTAACGCTGTTAGAAAATAAACTGCTACATGTATTAATCCGAGTCGATTCGATCTCGCTCGCCCTGCTGGCCGCAGATCTGATGCCTTTTGCAGTCCTGCTGGGCTCAGTTTGCGCTGCAGCATGTCCTCAGGCAACCTAACTTTTCATTAAAGCTTTTATTGCAAAAATAAAAAATGAATCTAATTTTACTTTATGGTGGTTTGTATGAGGGTTTTTAGGCTTAAAATGTATATCGCAAGCAGTTGTTGGGTGAGAGGCGGGGTACGGCCCAGGCAGGTCGCCAGAGACACACAGGATAAACAAATACCAAAGAAAAATGTATGTAAACCTCTGACTATGAAACAAGTTGAAGTAAAATTTTCCAAATGCTGAAAAAAAAAAAAAATAAAAAAATATATATATATATATAGAAATCCTAACTGACCTAAGCAGGAAGCCATTTACTTTGATGTCTCAAGTAAATGAAATTTGAGAATGTAAAATTTGTGAAAGGCACAAATAGATTGATGGACAGTCAATTCTATTATTGCGTGACGGTGAACTCGCGTATCCGTCAACTTAATGCCATGCACCTTCAGTTTCTTTGCGGCTGCAGTCAGAATAAAGCTCAAAACAGGCAAAACTAAATGGCATTTTAGTCATTTCTGTTGATCTGTTTATAATTGGTTTTGGGGATGTTAAATGGAAGATGGGGTTGTAGTGTGACAGAAAGAAGCTGTTGGTGGGATGATGTATGATCCTGGACTAATTGAGTGTGCAGCGTTTGATTGGTTTTCCTGGCCAATGTCTGGAGGACACGGTGCCCTCTAACTCTCATGTTCAGAGTGTGTGCCGGAGCAGAAACGGAGTCAAAATTCTTCCTAATGTGGAAAATTGGGTTAGTCGAAGCTCTCACTCTGCAGCCCTTGATGTACAGGTGCCAAGTCTCCGTTGACTGGGTCTTATTTATTTTACTTTTTTAATGCCGTCTAGTGGAACATATCTGTAAAATTGGAGAGGAGCACCTTAATCACAGAGTGACATGAGACTGCCCAGAGCCCCCTGAGCTCTTCAGCGCTGCGGGCGAGCAGCGGCTTTAAGTAATTGTTGTAGAGGGAGCTCTGAGACGCACGCCTCTAATCCCATGATTCTGTAAGCCCTCAACAGTGACTCTCCCATACCATGTAATGCCTGGAGCCCTGTGAGATATTATAGCATCACTAGACCCACCAGCATGGAAGAAAGCATGGGGAATCTAATGAACTCTGAGCAGTTATACCAGTTCGTCTCTCTTTGACCTGTAGCCTTTAGAGCGCCCCCTCTTCCCCCGTCCCCTCTCCTCATATAGTTTTTGCCTTGATTATATTACTTTGCAGCAAGTAGAGCTTTGGCTCTTCCCACTTCATCGCCAGTTTGGGAAGATTTATGAGCTCTGTAAGTGGGAAACAAACACACTGTGGATTTAACACCATTTCCCATAACAAACCAGCAGAAGGAACACATTAGTGCAGCTCAGTAAATTAGAATATCATCGAGAAGTCGATTTATTTCAGTAATTCAAGAAGAAAGAAATTCCAATAGATTAAATACAAATAGGGTTTAATTTTATTTCCCTTTTATGATCAATGACATATTTTTTTAATTGAACTGAACTGCGTTAACAGACTGCTGACTATATAGTTGTTCAGCAAACGGCACAGAAGCATTTTAATGGAAAGTTTAGTGGAGCGAAAAGATGTGGTAGGAAACTGTGCGAAAGCTAGATCAGTGTTTCTCAGTTCTGGTTCTAAGCCATAATCATCACAAGTAACACAAACGAGAGGCTTTAAATATATCACAGTCTGGTTGTGTGTGTGTATTGTGGATCTCTCAGCTGTAGATAAGACAGCCAAGAATGAACACAGATATTTCCTCTCCTTTTTGTTGACTGGGATTCCCGGAGAGATATGGGCATAGATCTTAAATTTTTCAGATTTCTGTTTCCACATGACAGCAGGTAGGGGTCTTCTGGGCCTTGTCATGTTTTAAATGCTAATCCATCTGGCAACAGGAGCGATTGTCTGTGAGTTCTGATCCAAGAGTATTTGCGTTGATAACGCACGTGCGGGCTTCTTCTCTGCTGACGGTGTTTAACGATTTAACAGTGAAGCGTCAGACTCCCGTCGTTCCCAGCGCCGGTGGGGGGGGGGCTGAAACAAACGGCGGCCCCCGTGACCGTCTGCCAAACTAACCCTCCTCGCTTCGTCTCCTCGCAGGCTCTACGAGAACAAAGACGAGGCCGAATTCATGGACTCCTTGAGGAGCCTCTTCACATCCTTTAACGACATGATGAACAGCAGCTCAGAGAACACTGGCATGGTGAAGGTAGGCTTGTTATCACACGAGTCCAACTGTGCGCCATCGCTCAAAGTCTCTGCCAGGAAGTGTCTAATGTGGCATGAATAGTAAATAACTGCTGCTGTGTAAATAGTAAATAAATCTGGAGTGATTAGCTTCGGATGACGTATTCTGTGAGGGGAGATGCATGAGTCCTGTTTCTCCCTCGGCAGCTTATTAGGCACTGATATCAGGATTTCTTCTTACAGATGATCTCTTTGTCTTCTGTTTTCATGTTTCACTCTTCAGATTTTCTTGGTATTCAAGCTTTTTTTTTTTCTTTTTTTTTTCATTTTCTGTTTTGAAGACTGCACAAAAACAAATATGTGTAACTTCTGACATAAAAAAACATATATATATATATATATATATATATATATATATATATAGTTAGCATTAAATGTGTTGGAGTTAAAGAAAATCCCGAAATAAGATATCTGAAGCTGGTTAAGTGTTATTTTAGATTTATAGTATTTAATCTGTATAAAAAGCTGTTCCTCAGGAGCGTTAAGTGCTCCATGGTCCTGCTAAGGGTATAAGTACCACATAATCTGCTTTAAAATCCCCCAGTTGCCCATCCCTGGAGTCTAATCTGCCATCCAGCCTCACTTTCCTGAAGCAGGAATTTCGCCCGCCTTTTAATCTTTTCCACATTTTGCCGTATTGCAGTCAAAAATCTCAGTCCTTTTGTTGTTAATGCATCAACAAAAGCAGTTAATAATTATGTGGTGGAAAGGAAATTATTTTAGATTATTTTTTTTTTTTGCTAAGAAAAACAAATAATGTGAATGAGAATTTGTGCTTACTCCTCCAGTGTGCAATTTAATCCAATTTAATAATAAAAACCTCAGACGGGTTGGGGTGAAAGCTGAAGAGAAGTTCCGTCAGATGAGAATAAAGCTCAGATTTTTGGCCAATGTAATATAAAATGCCTTTTTTTTGGCAGAAAGATTCTTTTTGTTAGGTTCCCCCCCCCCCCCCCCCCCCAAAAAAAAGGACAGATATTGATCTTTATTGATAGAAAGATGAATCGGGTTGAATGTACTTGATGTCTCCCCCTTTAATGATCAATAAATGTGTTGGATATTTACTTATTGAGAATTGTAAAGTTGGCCTCCTGAGTCTTTTCAAAGTTTTCGGCAGGGGCATTTGCTTCTCTACGTTTATACCAGCTCTTTTTTTTCTTTTTTTTTTCCTGCTTGGCTGTGTGTTATCACACACACACATATACTGTATATATATTTATGCACTGGAGCAGAAAACTGCCAAAATCTCTGCTTTTATATTGATGGTCACAGGGATATTAGCTTTAGAAGCGGCTCCTTGCTGCTACGTCCCCAATTCATCATATAGAAACAAACCTTTTGTTGAATACATAAATAAAAAAAAATAACAGTGTGAAAGCAGTTGTGTGTCTTTGCCCATGTGAAAGTCAAATTCAGTACATTTGCAGCCTGGTGAGGGTCAAAATCGACGCGTCACAAAATTTTGACTGTAGCTCCACTATTTTCCCACTTTTTTTTTCATCTAATCTGCCAAAAATGTCAAAGTTTATAGTTGTAAAATGCTTTCAGCTTACTGTGTTCTTTATTTTTCCCCAATAGCTGCTTCATTTAGATTTCAACATGCACATATTTAAAAAAAAAAAAAAAAAAAATTTCCCCTTGCATAAGAAGGCTCGTAAAAAAATCGTATTTTCTTTTAATAAAATAAAAATTACATAAGTTGATCAAAAGAGTTAAAGCATTGCCAATTTCCTAGTTTTTGTGCAGCCTTTTAGATCTTTCTTGCATCGTCAGCTTACATATGTGTTGATTTCTGTTGTTTGTTCCTCTATCTGTGTCTGTGATGTTCTGCCTTTCGTTTCTCTTTGACCTTGCCTGTCCTGATGTCTGGGTCTCCCCTGGCACTCTGCTCTTTAGCTGCTGCTTAAGGTATTTATGTCTCTTCTTTCCTCCTCCTACCTGTAAGCGTTGTGTTTTTGGTTTCTTTTTCATTTCGTGTATTTTGCTGTTTTCGTACTCTGAACTCGGTGGCACCAGACTGCAAACCAACTGACAAGCTTGTGTTTTTTTTATTAATTAATTTATTTTTTTATTATTATTCTGTGCAGTCTCTCTCAAAGGCTGACAGATGCTTACCTCGCGTACACCTCTGCTTTTAGAGATAACATAATCACAGGGTGCATGCACCTTGGAGCACCCTACAGTAGATCCATGTGCCCAGTCAACCGTAGGGAAAGTTCAGGAGTCAATTAGGAGTCAGTTGCTGTGTAATTGGGTGAGATATTAACTTTACTGTCAGTAAATTAAAAACTGATCTTGAGGAACGGCCATGAAAGCGAGGATTCCTGGTCCCTTCCCAAAGCCGCCTCTCTGTGAAAGCATCGTAGCAGGTGGGAGCTAATGAGCAGTCCCTTTAAACCTCCTTGACAAAAAAGAAAAAGAAAAAATAACATCTGGTCAGACGTGCACGCACTCGTGCGGAAACTCGGATCGGCACGCAAATAGACTTAAACTTTGATCAACCCATACCAACAGATGCTTCCGCTGGTTGTTGGAAACAGACGGAAGCAAAGGTCTTTCGCTGCGACTTAGAAGCCGCACTTCAGAGCAGGTGGGACTTGAGCTGCTGATGGGAACAAAGCGAGAAAACTGTTTTCATGGCGCTATATTTGGAGCCAAAACAAACAACATCTGAGGAATTAAGTTCCCCCGTCGTCTTGAGCTCGATTTTCTACAGACGGGGTTGCAGGGCAAACATTTTGCATATTAGAGTAAAAACAGATCTGATACGATTAGAGCAGATTAAATGGAATATCAGCTGGGTGTCGTTGCTGTCTTTTGAAAATACCGTGACAAGGACACAGTTGTCCTCTACAATAATTCGACACGATGTTTGCAGAGATTTAACACAACAGTCTGAACTCAAAGTCAGCACTTTGTTTTACAATTTTTCTGTTTGGAAAAAATGCCACTTTTTCTGATATCAGTCTTCTTTTTTTAAGTTACAGCATGCACAGGTGTAAGCTGAGTGTTCTTTAACTATTTGTAGCTGAGATTATTGATTTATTTCAAACATAAGTAAAAACTTTAGACAATGAATAGGTAAAAGTTCGTATTCCCTGTGCCCTTTTATTATAGTTACACATCAGTAAATTGGTTTACGTTCACACAGCAGATAAATCCGACCCCCATCTGACTTTTTCATTGCTCACTGAACAATTCCAATGTTTCCACTACCCCCCCCCAAAAAAAAAAATAATAATTGGAGTAAATTTGTATCAACAGGTCTAAGATTTAGAAAAAAATGTGATCAGAAGTTGGCCACAAACATCATCCTAATTTTGAGATGTTGATATATATATTAAAATGCCTTTTTTACTAGACTAGAGGAAATGCAAGGAGAAACTGCATTCGATTTTCAGTTTTTGTCACTGTATGATCAGACGGGACAGATCCAGTGAACATTTGTCCAAATATTTGTTTTATTTAGGCTAATTTTTCCTTTGCTTCATCTCTTGAAGGGTGCTGCCTTAAAGTACATCCCAACCATCGTCAATGATGTCAAGCTGGTCTTTGACCCCAAGGAACTGAGGTAATTTCACTTGTTTTGCATGATTTTCTTCTTCTTTTGGTCATTTAGTCACTTTTACTCATTCAGTAACCATTAACTGAGAATATAATCGGGTAGATGTGGACCTTTCCTGCCTTATGACATATTATATAAATATCTTAAGAGCTTTTTCTGTATGTATGGATTGCTCTTAGAAATGCACCATAGAAGTTCAACAAAGATTATTTGTTACCAATTTTCCAAGTTTAATACGGTTTTATTAGTTTAGTTTTTCTCTTTAATAGTTGCTGATTCATATCAATAAATTAGAACCTTCTAACATATTTTCCATCTACTATACTATACTCCGTCTTCTTATATACGCCTGTGTTTATGGCTTACTCTCCTTCTGGATTCAATGACTTGTGAACAACTGTCGTTTAGGAGTCGTAGCACCATATTTCTATATTGAAACAGCTTTTTTACTAGTCTTATACAATATTCCAGCTTTCTGAGAAACAGTTTTTTTTTTTTTTTGGTTGTTCTTGAAGATGAGCTGAATGAACGATTGATATTTGCCACTTTGTGTAATAAGTTGATATATTATATATTTACCTATTTCAATTGAACTGGCGAAATAAACTTTTCGATAACGTTGTGATTTATTGAGATGCTTTCCCTAAATCGAGACGAGCTGTGCTCAGATCTATTTTTTTTTTTTTTCTTCTGCCTTGCAGTGCTTTTATTCCACACCTCTACAGTCAGCAGCTCTATAGTTATGGCCTCTGCCCAACCACACTCAGGTTCCCTTGGAAACTCGCTAGCTGCTCCACTGAAGTGTTCATTTTAGTTAATGCTGCCCACTGTGAATGTCATCAGCCACAGCATAATGGATTCTTTATGAAGTGTCACACTCTTGCGCTCTGATCTGTTCATTTATGACATTAAGTCTGACGAAGTAGAAGATGTAACCTGACAATCTGTTCATCTGGATTACTTAGTGTCAGTTCAGAGGATTTCTAGGCTTTTTTTTTCCAACAGACTGTTTTTGGGGTATAAAATTAAATTAAAATTAAATGCCTATTTTCTCAGGCACCTTTTTTTTTTTTGAAAATCTATCTTTGCGTCTGTGAGAGAAGTTTAAAAAAAGAAGTCCAGGGATTCTGTACTGTCTGTTTAATGTGTGACATTTATGCTCTGTGTTTTATGTTTCTTGATATGTATGAGAAACAGAAAAAAGTTTTTATATGCTGACCCTTGTTTTACAGCGTAAAAGGTTTGACTTTATAAACCCGATTGCACAAATACGTAAATGACAAATTTTTTCAAAGTTTTAGTTTGCATTGTAATTTATTAGCAGTGTAATCTCAGAGTGAAAAAAATTGAAGAACATCCAATCTGCAGTCGCACTTTTGTAGGTAAGCCTGCTGGTGATGCTCTGTTAAACTGCCTTTTTACCAACATCACTTTTGCTCATTCCACAGATTTCTTTTATAGGATTCAGGTCTGAGGACTGACAGCTATGAGAGAATCTGCATAATTCTATGTATATA